GCCCCACCCCCGACAGGGCAGCCACCTCCCACCTTGCAGCGCCCCTGTAGAGTAAGGCTCCCCAATACCACCCCCACCCTTCCCCCAAGAGTCCCAACCGTGACCACAAAAGCCCTATCCCGACTGAAGCACATCCATCAGATCGAATCCCTAAAATATATGGCAGAACTGGAAATTTCTAAAAATTATGATGGAGAGAGAGGTAGATGAGAGTTTTTTTTTGGATTTGCAGATGGTGATAAACATCATCCTGAAGATGATGATGATGATGACCAAACTCACCTGCTGATGTGAGAGACAAACAAGGCCTTGAACCGCAACACCTAATGATGACAAAATGATGATGATGATAGTAATGACGGAATGATGATGCTGATCGTACCGAAGAACAGTACCAACAGCACCCTATGATTTCAAATTGATGATGCTGATGATGATAATGATGATGTTGATGATGTTGATGATGTCAATGATGATGATAATGATGCTGATGCTGATGCTGATGCTGATGCTGATGATGATGATGATGACGACGACGCCCAGCGCCCTGTGATGACAAAAGGATGATGATGGTGCAAATGATGAACACCTTGGATAATAACCTAGTGATGATGATGATAAGGGTAAGCAACGCCCTATGACGAACAAGCTTCGCCAACAGCGCCTTATGAGGGTGAGGTATTGATGATGGCAATGATATTGACGTTATGACAGTGATGATGATGATGACGAGCAACCTCAGCGGCGCCCTATGAAGACAAGATGATGATGATCACCCATACCTTGATGTTGGTGATGAGCGGCACCCTTATGATGATGACGGTGATGACGCCTGACGATGGTGATGACGCCTGATGCTGACGGCGAACCATTGCCGTGATGCTGCTGCCGAACCACGCCCTGTTGATGATGACGGTGATAGTGACGATGATGACGAGCAGCACCCTGATGGTGATGATGAATGATGACGGTATCAAACCGCACCCTGATGATGATGATGGTGATGCCGGCTGATGATGTGATGACGCGTGATGCTGACGACAAACCCTTACCGTGATGATGGTGCCGAAACACACCCTATTGATGATGACGGTGATAATGACGATGATGACGAGCAGCTCCCTGATGATGATGACGAATGATGCCGGTGTCCAACCGCAACCTGTTGATGATGGTGCCGATGATGATCAGTGCCCCGTTGTCGATGCCGAGCAAAAACCATACTCACCTTTAACATCCCTAAATACACCCCCTCCCTCTCCAAACCTCACCTCCTTGCTTCATCGGCACTCAAGCAACTCGGCCGCTTGTGATTGACTACCATTCAACCAACCCAATAGACCGAACGATGATGATAGGACCGCAGCTAGGATCGCCGTCGCAGCATCTAAACCACGTCGTGAGACCAAACCGCTGAACCCGCCAGCCGCCCCTCGCAGGTAGCCCGAAGAGATGAGGGCGTGTCCTCGTTGCGGACGTCACCCACCTTTAGGAGACCCTTCTCCCACATCCCTCCTCCCCCCTTCTTCCTTGTAGCCTTCTCCCTCCAGCCCGTGGAACCCTACCTACCTCCCCTTTCTCCCTCCAAAAGTATTCCACCTCTCCACCAAGACCTTAACCCCTGTGAAATGCGCCACCCAACAGCGTCCAGACACGCTCCTCCATATCCCATTCTCCCACCTCCTCCTCGCGTCACTCTTGCCATCGCAGCGCCCCAGCCGCTCCTCGTTCCTGCCCTAACCGCGAGGCCCACCGTCGCGTCCAAACGCCGGGCGGCGGAGCGCTCCCTGTATCGCTCCGCCGCCCCTTCCACCACTATGGCCTCTTCAAAACACGGCCAAAACATATCGGCATGTGTTTCAAAGAATCTATTTTTGGCTTTTTCATTCTCCGTTCTTTTCAAGAGTTTTTTCTTTGTCTTTTCTTTTTGGCTTCCTTCCGGGTTCACTTCCCCCCCCCTCCCCCACCCCACCCCACCCCACCCCAGTTTTTTTCTGTTCTTTCTAGGCTACCAGTCGGGCTGTCCGGGTCACCGTGTTTGCCCGGGCGGCCCGGCAGTGCAATGGCCAAAGAAGGCCCCAGCAAAAAAAAGAAAAAAAACTGACAAAAAACTATGTTATGCAGAAAATAAACTGAACAACTTTTGCCTCAGGGTCAGTCGAAATTCGTTACCAAAATGTAAATAATTTAATAAAAATGAAGTTATATATATAGATATGTATATATATATTTTGGTGCCCGGCCGGGCAAGTGGTCCCGGGCCACTCTGGTAGCCTAGGTTTCTTTGCTTTCGTTTTTGTTTTTCTGCTTTGATTTTTTAACTTTGGAGACGGTTAACACTCAGCAGAGTGGTGGGTTTCTCTTGTTAGAGTTGTTACCCTAGGTTCCTTTGGCAAAGTTTTATTCTCCTTGATTATGGCTTGATAGGCAAACCCTAGTACAGCATGTATGATGTGGATGTTTTTGGTTTTCGAGTCTGGACTGTGGAGCATGGAATTAATCTAGTAATAATAAATTAATAATCCGTAATCCTGGAGTGTGGAGTTTAGAATCCTTTCACATTTCAGATTATGAATCTTTTTGAGCAACTTGTGACACTTTGCATGTTTGATATTTACAGCATTTGACTGTTGCAGGAAGATATTTGTCATGGGAACGATGTTTGTCCTTCTCCCAGCAGCTTTTCTCCACTTTCGTGGCCTTGACTTCGAGCCAACAGTCAGTCTCATGCATATCATCTCCAGGTGCTCTTCTTTCAATCCTGTTCCTTCCTTCCATCCATTCTTTCTTTCTTTTCTTTCTTTTCTTTCTTTTCCTTCCTTCTTTCCTTCTTTCCTTCCTTCCTCCTCCCTGCCTGCGTGCCTTCCTCTTTTTTTTCGCTTCTTTTTCTTTTCTTTTTTTTCCTTTCTTTCTTTCTTTCTTTCTTTCTTCTTCTTCTTCTTCTTCTTCTTCTTCTTCTTCTTCTTCTTCTTCTTCTTTTAACTCCAGGCGAGGCCTGCTAGAGCACCTGATAAGAGCAGCTCCAATATAGCGGATCCATCCCTGGATGCCCACCTGCCTGCGGGCCTGCCTGCCTGCCTGCCTGCCTGCCTGCCTGCCTGCCTGCCTTGCTTCCTTGTTTCCTTCCTTCCTTCCTTCCTTCCTTCCTTCTTGCTTTCTTCTCTTTCTTCTTTTAATTTCTTTTGCTGGAACCGTCCGGGGCCCTGTCTGTACCTTGTCTTGCCAGCCCCCCCCAAGTGGATATACCCTTGCAGGCACAGCCAGTATGGGCCGCCTGGGACCAGCACATACTTGTAGCCCATTAGGTTATATGGATTCATATATGATATCTCCAATTATTCTGTGGCTGTATTTCATCTGATGAACTATGCTCCTTTTAAAACATTATTAATTTATTACGGTTTTCAAGTGCAGGTTCTGTCATTCGTGCTATGTCCGATTGGCAAGATACATGCCAAATAGGATGATTGGCTTCTTTCTTTGCTATCTTTTACTTATTCTCTGATGATAATTGGCAGCATGTATTTAGGTAGATTTCTTGGTTGTCTTCTGCCATTGGTGGCCTGTCTTCCCACTCCTACCGTCCTACTTTTCTTCCCACCTCCGTGCCCCCCCGAAGCCCACGTCTTTACACTCTCCCCAGGCATCTACCTCTTTCCCCCCTCCTATTGGTCTCTCCCCATTACAGTGCCCCTAACCTATGTTCATCTCTGACTCCTCTCTCTCATTTCCTGCCCCCCAAATCTCCCTCCAACTGCTCAACTCTTGGTGTGTACACATTTGGTAAACTGCTCCCTCATCTTTCCTCCTCATCTTCCTCTCTTTGTGTTTTTTTTTTTTTTTCCTTTTTGTTTTATCTGCTGAGAACCGGCTTCAGTATCCCTTACAAATGGAACCCATGGTTGTGATAAGCCAGGATCCATACTTTGCGGCTTCACGTACCTTTCGGAGTAAAAACTGAAGTAAGCCCCGAAGCACCGATCTTAGCTGATCAGGGAAAGCGGGGTCCATTTTTCAATTTTGGGAATTAAATGCATGCATATTTCGGAATTGCCCCTGTCCTCATTCAAATTAGTCCTCTTCACAGATGATTAGCGACCACGGAGGGGAATTCAAGAAACAGTTATGAATTTTGGTTGTAGTATTCAAATTTCCTTCATACTAGAGCGCGCGCGACCATTTTTGAATTCTTGCATGCAGCGTAAACTCGCTTTCCGCTCTGCATGCCCGCGCCACCTTCCCTTCTTGCTAAGCGCTCCTCCCTGCATGTCCCTTCATCTTCCCCCAACTCTGCGTCTAATCCTCCCCTTACCTTTCAGAGCGATTGATTGGTCGTTCGTTGGGATGGCCGGATCAATGCTGTGAAAGTAAACCTACGCGCGCAGCTTGAACGACCACTCCAATTGAACGGAATTTCTGATCACCCTGCCTTCTTCGACCCTTCTGGAACCTCCTTCTTTCTTCTGTCCTGCTCATCTACACCCCTTGCTGCCCACATCACACGCTGGTGCCCCGCCGCCTTCCGCGCTATAAATTTACGCAGCCCCCTCCTCTCGCTCTCTTTGATCTCAGCTGCAATGCTGTGCAAGCTCTGCGTGTAGACCACGTTGCCGAACAGGCTCTGCGTGCCCAAGGAACGGGCAGAGTGACAGCGTGGGGTGGAACTAGCGATAGACTTGGGGTCAGAGGGACTGAGTGGTGGTGGAGACGGGAACGTGGCCAGCGGCAGGGCCTTGTGGCTATGGTTGGTCCACATTCGGATCGGGTTGGTGGCTGAGCACGAGGAGTGCCAGTCTTGATGAGATTTTTGAATAGCGAGGGGGTCGCTTCTTCTCCATAGCTGCTTTGTCCATGCGTCGTTCATGCTCAAACTAAGTGTGTATACTCAGTTGTTTGCATGACCTTGGCTGTGAGTGTCTATGGATGCTGAATGCTTCGCTGTCAGAAAGTCTGTAGATGTATGAGTGCGAAACCACGGAGTGATGGTTTTGAGTGTGTTTGTGCACATGAGTGCGGCTCTGGGGTGTATTGGGTCTCGAACGTCTGCTTGCATATATGAGCGTTGATGCCCAATATTCTTCGATTAACTGCCGATCTCCGCGCCTAGGGCGTGTGCGAGATCGTTGTCAGCCTTTTCCTCTCTCCCCTCTCGCGCAGCAAGCGCCACGTGTCGGTTTTACCCGCTCACTTGGGTTGATAGCCTGTAACCAGGGACGTCGGGCGTTGGCGTTTCATCGACCCGCCCAACCTCGCTGCTACTTGGGCATCGCCATTTTTCTACGGTGACGATTTTTGACTTGACGACGTCGTGGTTTGAGCTTGCATTATAGTAGGAGTGAGTGCGATAGGGCCCTTTGGGAGTTACATGGAGTCGAGGTCTACTGTGCTGAACGCGAGTGCAGGTAATTGCCTGTGCTCGAACCTCACGTCAATCTGCCATAGCGATCTTCCGCCCTTTCCAATCGCAGACGAAGACGGTGTGTACCGCGATGCGGATGTTTGGGGGACGCTGTTGCGGGTTGACCGGGTTCATCTCTATAATCCGTCGAAGGCGTGCCATACAGGGGGGAGTGGCTTTGTTCTGATCGATTTGTTTTCTGGCCCCTCGGTGATTTTGCCCTATACGGATCTGACGGTGCTCCCATGGTCGGTGGTCCACACCACGTGGAAGCCTCAGCGTAATTCCCGTTGGTGTCGATTAGGAAACTCATGTTCCTGGCGGAGGCTGGTGCTGGGGTGCGAAGGCTCGGTTTGGTTCCCATACCTTGCCCATAGCACGGGAGCCCTTCCGATGAGCTTTCGAACCGCGCCCCTGTTGGACGACGAGTCTCGTGGTCGATTGGACGGACCTCACGGTCCTGACTCAGATGCCTAGGAGGTCCTGGGTCCTGCAGTAAGGTTGGCGTGAACCTGGCGCGAGAGAAGCAGTGGATTCAGCACCCTTCCCTTTTTCTCCCTTTTTCCGCTATTCGCGACGGATGCTTGAATTGCATTGTATGTTCGAAACCTACCGGCGGAGCAAAGTTTTTCTTATAGCCTGCCCCGCCAGTGCGTATTGTCTATCTAAACCCTCTTGTTTTTCCCTTTTTGGCAGTCCTCCCTGTCGGCCATACCTTTCGAAATGGCCTCAGAACTGAGGTGAGAATTCCCAGTTTTGTCCTGGTGATTCGACCCCCGCCCAAAAATCCTTGGCCACGCCCCAATTACTCTGATTGGTGTCTCCTCGGTACGGAACGCAGCACAGGGCGTGAGGTTGCGCATCACACGCTACTCTTTTCTCCATTATGGACAAGGCACCCTGAGTCAGTGGCATTGATTGCTCTCTGAAGGGACGATTTACCCCTGCTCACCCTCTTCTGCCTTGATTAACTTACTCTCTCTTCCCTTACTCCCAACTTCAATGTCCTATTGTTTTACTCTATCTTCCCTTACTCCCAACTTCAATGTCCTATTGTTTTACTCTTAGTCCTAAATTACTCTTAACTGTCTCTATGGGCCCAGGGCATTGGTTGCTCCCCTTCGGGGGAGGGTAAACCCGTGCCCTTTCCTAGTCCCTTCTGATCCTCACCTATTCCATTCCTGGCTTTCTTCCTCACGACCCTCTAGTACCTCTACTCCTTCCCCCCTCTCTCCCCCTCCAACTACCCTCTACTTAATTTTGTGCTGCACCGAGGACACTGTGTATGATCCATAACTAAAACTCCACAGACATTGGATTGCACCCGTCTGGTTGTGGCATTGATTGCTGTTATTTTTCCTCCCCTTGTGAATGATTGATGACCAGCATTCATTATCATTATGTTCAAGACATGGATAACCCACGTGCAGTCACGAGGAGACATGAGACGTTGATGGTGCTCGACTACTTTTGGGCCCACCTCGATGTCGTAAGTTAATTCTTCTTCTTCTTCTTCTTCTTCTTTTTCTTCTTCTTCTTCTTCTTCTTCTTCTTCTTCTTCTTCTTCTTTTGTGAAACAACGCAGTTCAAGCCTCTAAGTTGCTTACCCCGAGAACATAGGAATATACAGAATGTCCTGCACGACAATGAGTGTAGCACAGAAGAGTTCTTTGTGCTTTTTTATAAGATTGAGAGAACCTAACCAAACCAGACCAAACCAAACCGAACCGAACTGTATCAAAGCGAAGCGAACCGGAACTCAACCCGAACCGGAACCCATCGGGAACCCAACCGAACCCAATTGAACCAGATCGAACCAAACTGAACTAGAACCAATACCGAAGCGAACCGAACCAAACAAAACCAAACCGAACCGAACCGGACCGAACCGAACCGAACCGGACGAAACCGAACCACCCCGAACCGAATCGACTGAGCTGAACGGAACGGAACAGAACAGAACAGAACCTGTCTCTTATACACATCTAGATGTGTATAAGAGACAGGAACCCATCGGGAACCCAACCGAACCCAATTGAACCAGATCGAACCAAACTGAACTAGAACCAATACCGAAGCGAACCGAACCAAACAAAACCAAACCGAACCGAACCGGACCGAACCGAACCGAACCGGACGAAACCGAACCACCCCGAACCGAATCGACTGAGCTGAACGGAACGGAACAGAACAGAACAGAACAGAGCAGAGCAGCGCACAAGAGCCAACACATGGCAGGCAAGTGGGCCTTTGCCTGAATGCCGAGGGCCCTGGCCCAGCCAGATTTTTGGTTGGCTGGACTTAGGTAGACCTGCAGGGTAGAGCAGGTGCTGGACTGCAACTGGTAGGCCCTGCCTGCCTCCGGAAGAATCCAGAAGAGGCTGGCAGGGTGGTCATGAATGGTCCTCAGATATTTGGTGAAGCCACAACAGCCGCAGACATCACTTCGGGACACAGCCTGCAGCATAGCCTTCCCCAGCTGAGCCCGGACACACATAACAGGTGTGAGCCGGGTCTGGATTGCTATAGATTTGATTGGGCTGTTACAATTTGTCAAACTTTATGGGTTGCCCCTGCACAATGCAAATGCTAATTAATTTTCTTAATATTTCTACACATTGCAGCATCGTTATAATTTCCATGGCTGTGATACCACAAAGGAAGGATCCTGGCTCCTTAAACCTTTGCAACCTTTTTATGTATATTTTCTCGTAAAGTAAAAATTGCTGATGAGACCTTCCTCTTTTTCTTTTTCCCTTCAAAAATTTGGACCATTTCTTCTATTTACACGTGTCATCCTTGTGCAGGGGCCATGCCATGGCAACCGCGGACCTGGACCCGGACATGTCTGGACCGAGGCCCAGACATTTGTCTGGACTGGTCCAGATGTCCGGTTATCCGGACAGGCACCAGACAGCCGGACAGGACCGGACCCAGACCGTCCGGACCGGTGCACCAGACACAAAAATGTCCAGACCGGAAGGGAAAAAAAAAAGAACATTAGTAATAAGCAGTATGAACCACAGCTTACTGTCTTTCACTATTCACAACTTGACGGCTCAATAAAGTCAATACTGTCACAGACATTCACAAAGGCTCACACAACACTTGAAACCAGTTCTCAACAGACCAATCCCAAGTCACTTCAGAAAAGAGTACGAAAATCAGAGAAAAACAGAACTTTGAACTTTGAAGTTAGACATTCCAATTCATATTCATATGAATTGAAAATTTGAACTGTTAAGTTATTCAGATCTGCGTAAGAAGTACTAAGAACAGATCTGAGATCTGGTCAGGACCAGATCTAAG